TGAAGTGTTTGTTCTCCTTGTCTCCAGTATGTCCTTTTCCTGGTCTAGCCTTACCTTTATTTTCCACTTATTTTCACAAGCTTTCCCAATGCATATTATGTAAACTCTACATGGTTTTGTAGAACCTTCATAGTCAGTCCACAACCTACCTTTCCAGTCTCCATTTTCCCTGTGCATATCCAATATTCTAGCTACACTAGTACATTTATCATTCACTGATATGTTCCCCATGTCTCTCAGTCAGTCTCCAGTCAGAAAAGCAAAAACATGGGAAGGTGTTTGGCTCAACAGTTAAAATGCTGTTGGGAAACCCATTTCCCACATCAGAATACACAGTTCAAGTCCCAGCTCCTCCCCTTCTGATTCAGCTTCCTGCCAATGTGGGCTGTGGGATGCAGCAGATGATAATTCAAGTACTTGAATTCCTTCTATTTACCCATGTGGGAGAACTTGACAACTGAGTTCTAGGCTCCTGCTCTGGCATGTTGTAGACATTTGAGGAGTGAACAGGTATATTGATGATTCTCTCTCTCTCTCTGCCTTTTAAATAAAAAAAGAAAATAATATTTTTTAAAAATAAAAGAAAACTGAAACCATGATAGGCATTTCAACAGAGACAATTTATTACAAGAGACAGTTAAACAACTGTTTGAAAACTTTAAAATAAGAACAGGACACTGAAGTAACTCATACAGTAATTGTGTGAGCAGGAGGCAGACATCACTCTGAGTCTGAAGAATTATAGGGAAGAAAATGAAGTTTTCAGAAATTAAAAGTTTGGACAAGGGACCCCACAGCCCTGGGACCTAGACCTCTGAGGACAGTGACCCTGGCCATTGCTGTTACGTCTGAAATACTGAGCACCAGTTAGGGTTCAAGCCTTTAGCGAAGGATGGCTCCCAAGCTGGTGAAGGAACTTCTGAGGGTGAGATGAAGTTGGTTCTGCACAAAACTGAGTACTGGAATCCTGTCCTGCTGTGAGGAAGAACCATACAACAGGAACAAGGGAATGTGTTTATTCACTTTTCTCTACTCCCTCTAGTGCCCCCTGTTGGTTGGTCCGGCAGACAACACAGGAAGAATGGATTTAGAGTGGAGCAAAAAGGGCTTAACAACCAACAGGACATTCTTTCTCATTTTCTTGCCTTTACTCATACGGTTCTTTCTACCAATATCTTCATCATGCATGCATGTCATGAAATACAATCTCTTCTCCCTAATCTTCCCAAAAGTAATTATTTATACCATCATTTGAAATCCCTTAGCAGTCTGCAAATACTTCCTTTGCAGACTTTTTGTACCATGTCATATCTCTTCATGTTTGTTTATTTTCCACCAAACTGTGAGCTCCTTTAGGGCAGTTAGAATTACAACTTAAAATCTAGCAGGGTGCCTAGCATGAAACAGATGTTGGTTAAGCTAGATGGAATTGATAAGAGCATTTTAATGAAATTAATATTAGATCATTTCTTGTAAATACTTTATCTTCCCAACCAGATTTACAGTACCCAGGAACAGAGCCTTTGTTCTATATGTCCTTTATTTTCTTTGTGGTATTTAATACAGAGTTTCATATGCTGAAAAAGAGCTCAATGATATTAACCACCAAACTAGTTTGTTCATTGACCTCCACAATTTTGATTTAAAATGACATGAAGTGGGGGCAGGATTTTATGAATAGCAGGTAAGATCTGTAGCAAAGTTCTACATTTGCTGGAGAAATAGCACAATCAAGAAACCAAATGCAGTGTTTTATAGTAAATTCTAAAAGAATGAAATACATTCTAGGTTTTATTGTTCACATTTATTCTGACAAAAAACATGTTTCCCCAATCCATGAGATTATCAATCTGGGATAAGTTTGTTCCTTGTCTATTCATTAAATTTCTCAGAACCATCAAAATCAACTAGTAGATTATTTAGTTGTAGCTAAGGTATTGAATTTTAACTTAATCACCAGCTTGTTAAAAAAAAAAGAAACCTCTGTTCAACAACTGATTTACATTCAGGCCCAAGAAGAAGAAAAATAGCTTTTTTTTAAAGGAGTGATATTTAATTAACTATTGATTTCTTCTCAATTATTCAGGGCAAGCAATTATCGATATTGATGGAACAGATATTTTGCTACCTCTAGTGCCCAAATGAAAGGAAATATCACATTCAGCAATCTGCTGTCTGGAACAAGAAACGCTGAGAATCTTTAACCTTAAATGGAAATAGTTATTTGGATCTGTTTATCCCATGTTGTCCCAATTAAACAGATATTTCCTGAAATGTAGACAAAACAAAATCCCAAAAACCTATGAATGCTTTCCAAATTGACAGCAACCAATAAACTAGGGCTTTCGTCAGTCTTGACCATAAGGCTAACCACTCTGCTCCTGTGAACTTCGTTTCATGAGTACAGATCTTTCCATTTTTAACCATGTCTCATAAAATACTACAATCGGTTCTAATAGTCATGACTTCTAACCCACCTAATGAGAGATAGGCTATGCAATCTTTAGAAATAATGGAACCATGCCTTGAAATCAATATTTTGAATCTGAAGAATTTAGTAGACCTTAATAATCACTTCTGACATTTATAGATAGCAAGTATGGGTGTATTTGAAAATTATACCAATTCACTATCCAACTGTCTCAGAGGTAGATCACCAAGGACATTTTTTTTTTTTTTTTTTGACAGGCAGAGTGGACAGTGAGGGAGAGAGACAGAGAGAAAGGTCTTCCTTTTTGCCGTTGGTTCACCCTCTGTCGCTCCCCCTCTTCGTGGAGGAACGACACTAAGCCCTGCCTAGGCTTCATATCCGAGTCACGGCACCATTATGTCGCTCCCCCTCTTCGTGGAGGAGCAACACAGGACCCTGCGCTGTTCTTTCGTCTGCTCGGCCCTCCCCGGGTTTGCTGCTGGTTCTTCCCGGGTTGGCTACTATCCCTTCCACCTCCGTGGAAGGGCAGTTCCCCCCGGCCGCATTCCCCACTTCCGCAGGGGAGCGGCACACCGCCGGCCGGTTCTCTCGGGGGCTGCACGGGTGTTCCTTCAGCTAGATGTTCCCCATAGATGTTCCCTATGCATGCCGTCTCTCTCCTCCTTTATAGTCCTCCTCCGCCAATCCCAACTCGGCTGCCCACACGCCGAGTACGCTGCTCTCCTCCAATCAGGAGCAAGTCCTACAGTTTATTAGTTGAACTGGAGGCAGCTGTGCGGAAGCTGTTTACTTCTCTCCCAGCGCCATATTGTGGGAGAGCAGATGCATAGAATAAGTCCTAATTCGAGTAACTTAGTCTAGTCCGGATTGCTCCCCACACCCTCCAATGGCCGCCGCGTCCGGCGCCCTGCAGCTGGCACATTGCGCTGATCCGAAGGCAGGAGCCAGGTGCTTCTCCTGGTCTCCCATGCGGGTGCAGGGCCCAAGGACTTGGGCCATCCTCCACTGCACTCCCGGGCCATAGCAGAGAGCTGGCCTGGAAGAGGGGCAACCGGGACAGAATCTCGCACCCTGACTGGGACTAGAACCCGGTGTGTTGGCGCCGCAAGGCGGAGGATTAGCCTAGTGAGCCGTGGCCAAGGACATTTTGAGAAAGGTGATCAAACAGGGCCCAGTTTAAAGCACAGGGGATCCAACACCACCTCTTCTCAGCTCATTTGCACACAAAGCCCTAGCATGTTTGTGCTAATTAAGCTTCTCTTGAAGGTGACATGACTATTGAACATGATTAATGGACAAGGCTACATTCTCTATTGAGCTATTACTTGGAAGGTGGGCGTTGTTTTGAAAATACTTTACACTTAATATTAAGTGTGTGTATGACTGTGTGTATGTGTTTAATTCATGTGACATCCTGGGGGAAGTTTGACCATGACATATTTTTTTATGAAAAAATGTTATCATTTATAAGAAGTTACTTTTTCTGCTCTGCTCCTCCAGTCGCCCAGTTCAGGGCGGCTCTGCTCTGTACGTCAGGTGCTTAAACAGCATATGTTGCTGGGAAGTGTTCTTGGCTCCTTCACTCTTTGTTGTCGTTTTAATTTCCCTGGGTTCTATTTAGTATTCTGCTGAATCAGTGAAACCTTGATTATCTAAAAGAATAGGAGATGTGGAATTAATGAGGATAACCAGGATTTGGAGGGAACAAGAAATTATTAGAGGTGAAAGTCACGTGACAGGGGCTATGGATGAATCTCAGTCTCTAAATGGCTAATCTTGATTTATTCAGACTGATTCTTTTAATCGATGGGCATAATGCAATTTTGATAATCAGGGTTTCACCGTAGCATTTATTACTATTCCCAGAAATCAAGGTAACCTTGGGCTGGCTCTACTTTCCCACATTTACAAGGTGGTAAAAAAAAAAAATAATCCTAATAGGATGTCAGGGACAATTGTGACCGCTCTTCCTTCACTCTCCTCCCATGAAACTGGCTTTCTTTCTTCCCATCTGGCTGCCGCCTGCCTGGAGCATGCTACTTTCCCCACGCCCCAAGCCCTCATCCCCATGCTTCCCTTTGGGCTCCATCTCTTGCATGCAGGAGCTGGGATCATGTGCAGGGAGAATGGCCAGTCCCGTACAGGATCTTGGTCATTTTATCAACACTGCTTTGCATTTTAACTAACACTCATCTGGCTTCAAAGCTCTGCATTCTTGTAGCAGGCATTTGTCCTTGATAAACCCAGAAGGTCACAACAGGTCCCAGTTCCATGAAGAGAAGACACTGCCACAGCAGGAGTATTGCATTACTTGGTATTCGACAGCCTGAAATGGACAGCGATGATATCCAAGATTGCAACAAAAATCTATACGAAAAGGACTAATACGATAAAAACAAAGGCAGCAAACTACATTTGTTTGGAAATTGGAGTCCCACGCTTAGTTTGGGGGTGGGGGAGGGGTACAAGATCGATAGAGATTTTTTTTTAAAAGCTGAAAACATGATGTAGCAGGTGAACCTAAATTGATTCTGCTTCTCCTCTCCGCCCCCTCCCCCTAACTCTGCAGCGAATGTCTGCGACAACGAGCTCCTGCACTGTCAGAACGGAGGGACATGCCACAACAATGTGCGCTGCCTGTGCCCGGCCGCCTACACCGGCATCCTGTGCGAGAAGCTGCGGTGCGAGGAGGCGGGCAGCTGCGGGCCGGACTCCGGCCAGGGGCCGCCTGCGCACAGCAAGCCCGCCCTGCCGCTGCTCCTGCTGCTGCTCCTGCTGAGCGCGCTGCTGGGGGCCGCCAACCCCCTGGTGTTCTAGGCGTCGCCTCCGGCCCTGGGACAGACCTGTGCCGCGGGGAAGCAAAGGCAACCCTAGCATTTGCTACCAACGTAGAAACACACAAACACACACACCCCCGACACCCCACTCGAACACAGTGTGCAAACTAAGAGGGCCTAACTGAACTAAGCCATATTTATCAGCCGTGGACAGCACATCGGGGTCAAGACTGTTCACTTCTGACTCCAGAGGAGTTGGCAGCTGTTTGATATTATCACTGCAAATCACATTGCCAACTGCAAAGCTTGCTGTGGATTGGAAAGGCTGTGACAGCCCCCCCACCCCAACAGGAAAGACAAAAGGCAAACAAACAAATCAATCAACCTACAAACATTCGCTACTCCAACGCGCGGTGCGACCTGGCACCGCTCTGCCCAGTGTGCGGATCACCCAACAGAAGCGTTCTGCGCGGCCGGGCGCATCGTGAGTTTATGGAAGTCTGTTACAAGCTGCCATATTGGCCTGCTTCAGCCCCCAGATCCCTTCCAACCTGTGCTTTAGTGAACGTTGCTCTGTAACCCTGTTGGTTGAAAGATTTCTTTGTCTGATGTTAGTGATACACATGTGTAACAGCCCCTCCAAAAGCGCCAGCCAGTCATACCCCTGCATATCTTAGCAGCACTGAGTCATCTCGGTGCGAGGCACACCCACTAGACAAGAGTGGCTATAGGAAAAGAGAAAGTGTATCTATCCTTTTGTATTCAAATGAAGTTATTTTTCTTGAAATACTGTAATATGTAGATTTTTTGTATTATTGCCAATTTGTGTTACCAGACAATCTGTTAATGTATCTAATTCAGATCAGCAAAGACTGACGTTTTATTTTGTCCTCTTTCGTTTTGGTTTTGTTTCATTGTGCAGAGATTCCTCTGTAAGGGCAACGAACGTGCTGGCATCAAAGAATATCCGTTTACATATATAACAAGTGTAATAAGATTCCACCAAAGGACCTTCTAAATGTTTTCTTGTTGCTTTAACACTGGAAGATTTAAAGAATAAAAATTCCTGCATAAACGATTTCAGGAATTTGTATTGCAATTTCTTAAGATGAAAGGAGCAACCACCGAGCAGTTTCACACTCACTTTACTGCTTTCTGTGTGGACTGAATACATTCAGCTGACGAATTTAGTGCCCAGGAAGATGGATTGATGTTCACTAGCTTGGACAACTTCTACAACATATGAGACTACTTCCACTTGGGAAAAATTATAACAGCAAAAAAAAAAAAAATCTAAGCGATTGCCAAGATTATGCCAAAGCCTGTTGGCACAGTACTAAGAGACTTTTATTTTTAAGTCATGCTATTTTCACAGATTGATGGTGATCATGTGACTCTAGGGATGCTGATCTATGTATCTTTCCAAATACAGTGTTTACATGGAGTATCCTAAGAAGCTACCTGGGGAGCCAGAAGAGTAGCAGGGACATTGAGTGGTTAGCAATTTGACATTATAGGAAGACTAAATAGTTAGAGGAAATACCGAAACATACAGCAGCAAGTAGACTTCACTGCTGTCCCTAAGAATAAGGTTTGTTTTAAGTACTGCCCACAGTGTAATAAATTCTTGTTTCTGCCTTTTATTAGGCCAATTACTGTACAAGACAGCCGGGGGAAGGGAGTAGGGAGAACCACTGAAAACGCTCATAGAGGCAAAAACAGTGTGTGTTCCATTCCTAGCGTCCTGTTGTCCTACAGGTTACAAATGTGTTAGCAGCAGCATCTCCTGGAATCAAAAATAATTATCAGCCCTAGCCAGAGTCTTAAGGACAATGAAGTTCTACATGACTCAATGGAGCAATAACCTCTGAGAGCATTAGGCTGGAGGCTGGGTTCCAGTCTGAATTCTTCTCCCTGCTGCCACTCTTTGCAGAAACGGGGGGAGGAAATGTCTTCTGATAAATAAGCTGAGTAAAAACTAGATGAAGGAACAGCATGTCTTATTGGTTTTGTTCCCAGAAAAGCCAATTCAAAGAAGGCAATAAAAGGTAAACAGGTAATGCCTGTACTGCCTGCCACCCCACGTCTAAGTCGATTGAATGTTTGTTATTCAAACCAACAGTCTCTTTTGATATAAGAAATAAGAAAAGATGAAAATATATTAGAGCTCTGGCTTCATGCCAGAGTGGCCAACAAGAAATTGGAGATTTACATTGGAAGCATAAACAGAAATTATATTTCAGGCTCACCAAAGAATGCACATGAAAATGCTGATAACATACAGTGTTGAGATTACTTATAATGAGGTGGATTTCTAATATTAAAATTGGAATTTAAGTTGTCTTATAGTTTATTAGCACAAACCAAAGGCAGACTGTGTTATTTCTGGCAATGATGCACTTTATCATTATTCACTCATGGCTTTATCACAATGCTCAGGAATCAGACACTGCACATTCAATACAGGGGATTCCAAAAGCTAATTCTAAAATTTAATGAAGCCCTGATCTAAATCAATTCATCTGCATTTTATCTTTATGAGGCTATAAGAATCTAAATTGATGAGGAATATCTTGCATTCAGTGTATTTAGATATAGTTTTCTGAATTTCCTGAAGTGATGTGATCTGCTTTTAATAAAAATTCACTTTTAGGTATACAATAAATGGAAATGAAACGTTCTTTTTAATCTGGATTCTCAAGTTCTTCTAAGGGACCTATTCCTTTGGTTAAAAAAAAAAAAAAAAACTCAGTGGATTTTATTTGCCTATTGCTTTCCAGAATTCTTACAAATCTAGTTTCATCTACAATATTATGTTCTAAGAACAGGACTGAGGTGAAAAGAGTATTAAGTTGTCCCCACATATGAGGTCCTAATATTTGCTCTGTTTCCACCTGGATAGGTTTCTTAAAGTAGGTTAAGTTATCATCTTCCCTATGAGGTCAATCTGTCAACTTTCCCACAGAGTGAAACTACAAGCATGGTTCTTTCTATCAACTCTGGTGATTCGCATCCATTTCCAAAATGGAAGAACATTCCAGCTACAAAGGGAGTGTTGCTATGTATAGGAAAGTGAGGAACTTGCCTAGTCATGACCCATACACAACCTAGATGGAAACGTTATCCCAGCCAAGAGGGGTGATGCTCCCAGGGGCCAGTTCTGACCCTCCTGCAGCTTGGCCTCACTGCCAGAAACTACAGTTCCTACCCAGATTATCAGCACATGTGTGGACCTCCTCTGGGGTCTAGACACTGGCAGCAGCCAGCAATGTGCATGTGTCCGCACATAAGGGGTCTGTGTATGGCTTAGTGCCTGCAGTCTTGACTAGTTGCTGGGGCATTCACAGCTGAGTGAGGAGACACTCCTTGCAGAGAAAACCAGAGTTCAGGCTTGGATAGACAGAGAAGAGGGGTGGGAGAGAGATAGACAAGGTCCACTCAAGTCCAGGGTGCACGTAGTACTGACCTCAGAGCAGTGTAAGGACTTTAAATCTACGGGGGATGGAAAGGGGGAGCTTCCACTGGCTATGAAAGCATATGAGTCAACATAGTGGGATGAAACACAACTTATTGGATGTTTTGTTAGCCTAATATATGGCTTTTAAAAATTTTTCCATATGCACGTGGGCCTCCATGGATACTTTTGTTCTGGGCTCTGAGAACATTTGGGTTGGATCTCCCTGAAGTCAAATCCCTACCTAGACTGGCACCAGTCGCTCACCCTGCAACTTTAAAAAGGGACAATTTGGAAGAAGGCACAAGCTCCATGGTTCAACTGTCCCTGTTGCTAATCCTGCACATCTTTTTTTGAACCTGTGGCCTTTTGCAGAACGAGGAGTTTGGGATGAGAAAATCTTGAAATAAAACATTTTGTTCCATCTCCTTCTCCCTCCCCCGTCAATTGTCCAGTGTTCTTAGGATGTAAAGAGCTGATACTCTGAAATGGGATACTCTGTGCTACATGAAAAACAGGCCAATGTATTTCACCTATTGTTAAATCCTAAATAAAATACCTATTTAACCATTTTTTTCACTCACAGGATTGAGCAGCATATGCGTGGACTTTGAACTAAGTTTTCTGTATATTTGTTTTGTATGGGATTCTATGTGTATGTATGATCTGATGTAATTTGAAGCCTCAGCTTCAGGAATCTGAACTTGAGTTCTTTACCTACCATTTTTATTCCCAGACTTAACTGATAAAGATGTCAGTGGTGGCAGTGAGAAAGCTGTATCTTAGAATGCTATGGATATCACGTAAAACCTTAGGGCTTTTATTTTGTTTTTTTTAATTGGACAGCTTTGGTAATATACAGAGATGAAAAATAGAGATAAGAGTTGCCCTCAAGGCTTTGATTCATATTCCTGGTTGTGTATAACTACTGTGCCTAAAGAGATCAGGACTAGATTCTAATCAGTTTCAATTCTGAGAGATATCAAGTGATCAACTGGCACAAACATCCCAACAGTTCTGACCATTTCCATTTAGACTTATTCTTCACCACTGTATTTTTACTTTACACTCAAAGTAACTTTTTCCTCTAGTCACCTAATATAGATGCCAACAAATTGCAAGTGTATGCTGCATGTAAACATAACGTGATGTCAGAAAGAATTAACAACCTCAACTATCGTATTTTGAATTTTCACCAACAGTCTTGGAAATAGAGAGGACTTTCTCTCTCCACAATACCTGGTAAGATGTGACTTACATCTTCATTCTACATCTACAGAATCCAATACCTAAGAAACAGCTTATTCCTTATACAAGCCTTATTATTGCAATTAACTAGAAAGCAGGGAGTAACATCTGTGGAAAAACTTGCACTAACATTGAGTAATCTGCAACTTGTGATCTCTGGTGGCAGAACAATTCTTCCCCTTGTACATTTTTAGAACAGGTCCTGTCCTGAGACAAGTCCAGCAAGAAGACTTAAATGATTTCGTGGGATGGGCTGTTTTTAAATAGCTGCGCACTTAATAAATGCTGGTGTCCTCCCTCTTCCTTCTCCATTCATTCAAAAGCTGTTTTTAATTGATGGATAAATTAAAATGGAGTAGTACCATTTAAAAATATGTGATGTTTTTACGAACCCTGGAATCATAACTGGCAAAATGGGCCATTATTGTGCAAAATCTAATTATGCCAGCACTAAAGATTTAGTGAGGCTGGCGGAAGCAAGCTGCAAAGGCTTGGAAGTAAAAATAATCCCCCTTTTCTTAACTTAGTCCCATTTTTACAGAGGCGTTACTTTAAACTCATATTTAATTAGTGTACTACGAATTCCATGAGGAAAAAAAAAAAAAGAAACTTGACTGGAAAGAGAAAACTTAATTACTACCCCGTCTGCATCTGTCTGAATAGAGTTGAGAAATTCCTGCACAGCAAGGATGCATCAAGTTACCTTAAAGACATAAGGTAGCACGGTTGTATCCTCCAGCTGCCCTGGGAGTGCCACGTTACAGCTTGCCTCTTACAAGGGGCAGTCATTCTAATCTAATAAAAGAAGGAAAATGGCAGAAAATCACACACCTGAAGTCCTGTTAAGAATAGGTGATTCTTTTTGCCTCCGGCAGGCAAGAACATAATGTCATTTTTGTTCGTTTGTATTTGCGCTCCGAAGGAGGGCTGCTCCTGTTGGGGAATGGCTTTCCCTCTGCCAGTGTGAAACACTGCAAGAAAACATTCTCCAAGGAAATAGCATTTTGCTGTTTACCAGTCATGCCTACCACATGAAGCCCTGAGTAATTGTTTTGGCTTTCATGGTGTGATAAACACCTAGAGGCAAAGAGATTAGCATCATCACTCTCCATCTCTTTCCCTTTCCCTTTGGGGGGAAAAAAAAGAGGGTTGGGGGAGCAGGGGTGGAGGAACGGATCCAAATCAAAAGACAACGTTTTTAAGAATCTTTCCCGTCAGTTGGTGTTTAATTATGAAGCCCCGGCTAAATATTCAGTTTATTAAATTAATAGTGTGACCAGGACTGGCACAGTCTTACAACCACTTAAACTCGTGCTTACATTCTATGTAATTACAAATCATAATTGGGAAAGCACTCAGATCTAAATGCATTCTGA